AGTCTCTGTTTGAACTTTTTCTTTAGATTTTGACTGGATTTCGTTGGTCTTCTAAAATTTGCGACTAAGTTTCTACGTTTAGGTCGAGATTTTACTCGTTGATTTTAATCCATTTGATCGGAAAATTGAATTCTGTGTAAGGTTTGTTCTTTGATCTTGATATGCTAGAAATTGTTGCAAGAAACTTTGGATTTTGGTTTTCAGGTTTTGTGCTTGGGAAATTGAGATTTGCTAACGTTGATGCTCGCTTCTTGAAAGCAGTTGGTGGATAATCTGAAGAAGATGAGAAAGCATAGGTTTAGGGAGTCCATAAAGTCCATTTTTGGGCATCATGTTGATCCAGAAAAGGATGAACAACTTAAAGGAACAAAAAAGGGTAATTTTCTCTGTCACATAACTTTGATTTATGAAACCGTATGGAAATGACATGTAGAATAGCTTGAGAGCATTCTCTAGTTATGATTTGTATGCTTTCGCTTCATTCTACTGTTGTAGCTCCGGTTGAAGTTCTAAGTTTGGTTTATTTTGCAGATATTGAAGAAAAGGTGAAAAAGATTTTAAAGCTTATAAAAAATGAACAACTTGAAGAAAGTGATGGGATCTCAACAACAGACTCAAAAAAAGGACCTCTAGTTGAGCTAATTGAGGATTTCCACAAACACTACCAAAATCTCTATGCACAATACTATCATCTAACAGGAGAGTTAAGGAAAAAGGTTCACAGCAAGCAGGAAACCGATCCCTCTTCTTACTCCGGCTCACACTCTGACTCAGACTCTGACTCTGATCATTCTTCAAGGGGGCAAGACTGTAAGAACGGAAAACTGGAAAGCGAATCTCAGAAAACACCAGAAGGCATTGAACAAGAACTTGAAACTGCAAACCTGGAAATTGCTGAGCTTAAGAGAAAGTTGACTGCCACAAATGAGGAAAAAGATGCTTTGAAGTCAGAATGTCAAACAGCTGTCAGCAAGATTCAAGAAGCAGAGGAAGTCATCAGACATCTAAAGCTTGAGGCTGAAAGGTTAGAAACTGAAAACTCAAAACTTTTGGTCGAGAATGGAGAACTGAAGCCCAAAGTGGATGCTGCTGGTAAGATTGAAGCTGAAGCAAACCGAAAATTAGAAGACATGAGCAAAGAAAATGATAACTTAATCAGGGAGAAAGAGAATGCTATTAAAAGAGTTGAAGAAGGGGAGAAGATCATAGAAGATCTAGGAAGCATGGTTGATCGGCTGAGAGAGGAAAATGTAAATCTTAGACAAGAACTTGAAACTGTTAGAGGTGAATTTTCCAATGTGCAGCAGCAACTGGAATCAGCTGAACACCAGCTTTCAGATTTAAGCCAGTCTCTGAAGACTGGCAGGGAAGAGAATGAGTCCCTGAATTTAAAACTTTCAGTGGCTTTAAATGAGATTCAGCTGGCTGGTAAGAGAACAGAAGAACAGATGGCTGAAATAGGTAACTTGAATGAGAAACTGGGTAATAAAGTAAGGGAATTGTCAACTCTTACAGAGATGCATGAGGCACATGGGAATCAGTCATCAGCTCAGATAAAAGAATTAGAGGCAGTAGTGATGGGCCTAGAACTGGCGTTAGAATCATCTCAAGCACATAATAGAGATGTGGAAGTGCAGATTGAGAGAAAAGCAACTGAATTAAAACAGTTGGGAGAGGAAAATGCAGCAATGCAAGCACGAATTGTAGTGCTTGAAACGATGTCAGCAAAGAGAGAAGATGTGCTTTCTGCTTTGGCAAAGAAATTCAAGGATAATGAGACTGAATCACTGTCCAGAGTAGATAATTTGACTGTGCAGGTCAACAATCTGCTTGCGGATGTGGAGTCTTTGCGCTCTCAGAAAGCTGAGCTGGAGGAACAAATGGTGTACCTTCAATTAAAAGACCAGATGGCAGCCGATTTGGAGCACACTGTTGAAGACCTGAAAAGAGATATAGAAGTGAAAGGAGAAGAGATCAGTTCCTTGGTTGAGAATGTCCGTAATATTGAAGTTAAGCTCCGGTTGTCAACCCAGAAACTCCGGGTTACTGAACAGTTACTTTCTGAGAAGGAAGAAAGCTTCAGAATAGCAGAAGCAAAGTTCCAGGAAGAGCAAAGAAGGCTTGAAGAAATGGTTGAGACATTGTCTGGAATAATTGCCACAAACAATGAAGCTCATCACAGGATGATTACAGATCTCTCAATAATGATACAAAGCAACTTGACTGGGTTTGAAGCTGTAATCCAGAGATTTGAAGAAGATTACGGGCACCATGAGCATTATATTCTGGAAACGTCAGAACTCCTAAGGGTTGCAAAGAATTGGGTAGTGGAGATGAAGAGTAAAGAGGAACAGCTAAAGAAGGAGGTGAGTGGTTTGGTTGAACAATTGCAAGGCAAGAAGGAACAGGAAACTATGTTGAGAACGAGAATCGAGGGACTAGAGGTCAAGGCAAGCAAGGAAGAAGCAGAAAAGGACAATCTGATGAATGCTGTGAAGCTTCTGGAAAAGAAGGTCGAGTTATTGGAAACAAAGATAAGGGATAAGGATGATGGTATTATGGGTTTAGGAGAGGAAAAAAGGGAGGCCATTAGGCAGCTCTGTTTGTGGATCGATTACCACCGTAGTCGTTATGAGTATCTCAAGGAAACGTTCTCGAAGACTGGTGGAAGAGGCCAGAGGGCAACCTAGAAGTCCCTGAAAAGTTTCTATTCCAGTATGTTCATTTGGTTCTGTATTGTTGGTTCTTTTCAATTATTTCATTTTTTCGTTGATGTTGATGGGGGTAAAGACGATGGGGGTAGTTAGCATCATATAAAACTCTTGTTGCGTGTTTTTATCATTTTTTAGTCATTTGTCAAGGGATCTATTACTGGGGTGAAAATATGATTTTTCGACAAATTGGGAAAATAACGAATACAACAGGCATCGGCCAGGATAAATGGTCAAGTCAAGTGAGTAAATTCTCTTACCATCTCATGGTTATGATATCTTTATCTTGTTTCTCTTTTAAACGTTCGCTTAACTATGAATGTTACAGATATTAAATCGTCTAATAATATAGAGGGGGTAAAATCCAGTTACATAGGGAACCGTCCATAATTTCCAGTAAGGTAGGATTAAATGCTTTATTCATCTAGATCATGAATGCCTAATTTCAAGTGACTGCATCTTTTTCTAATTACCACTTAGCAATGCTTATTGACAAAGCATATATGAATCAGAGCTAAAAATCTAAGATCAGAAACTAAGGTAGGCTTCTAGATGTCTCCTGGAAACTAAACACATTTCCTGACAGAATGCCTTCTCTAATAATTCCTTCCACTAGTGAGATGAACATAAACGATCGATAAAAAAATCTCGGAGTGTCTTTAGTCAGATATCCTAAATTCAACTTGGAGAATGTCCTTCACCAACTCGTATGTGACGAATGCAATTGCTATAGACGGGACCACCTAAAAAAAGGTAGAGAGTGTTTATAATACAATTTTTTTTTTTTTTAAAGGAGTGAATGAAACTATAAATGGACTAGAATCTGAAAATTACCACTGAAATAGACTTATTTGAGAAAAGAAATAACGAAATGCTTCTTTCAAATTTAATGAGGGAGAGACGAACAGAAAGGAAAAGCACTCTCTGCTGTTAATGACATGTTTGTATGATATATGATGGAAACTTGGTTATGGAGACTAGGATATTCTACTAACCTTCACTGAATTGGGAATCAATCCCTTGTACAAGGCTCCAATTCCCTCGTGCCTGACAGTTTTCCTGAACGCATCTACCATTCCAGTATAGTCAATGGGTGCCTTGGTCTTCCCGTCACCAGTGACAACCGAAGCAGCATCTTTCCAGCCTACCATCTGCATTCTCCTACGGATGACATCAAGAGGGTAAGCAACTGTCTGGCCAACAGTTCCAGCTGCAGCCCCACATGCAAGCTTTGTTGTGACACTCAATTCAGAGCTGTCAACTAGCCCATATGGTTTACTTTTAATCAACCAGTCTTTCAGAGATTCATACACTGCAAAGTTCAGACCAACATACGGTACCTATAACACATTGTAAAAGACTTTAGCATTTGCACGTAGAAATAAATCACAACAGAGATTCTTTCGTGAGTTCAATAGCTATGTTGATGTGCTACTTCCAAAACATGAGATACTGACTTCTATTTCAGGCATACAAATGATATTTGTTTTCACCACAGCAGAAATTTTACAACCATTTAGATATGAACTTCTGCGATACACAATGGATTCTGGAAGAAGGATTACAAGACAGCTATCAATCTGCAAAATCAAGAAACCAAAAATTTTGCTTACAACTCCTATCACAGAAGGAAGCCAGCCTTTGTACAAAGCACGAGGCCCTTCTTCTCGGAGGACAGTTGAAAGAGCATGGAAGATTCCTCTATACCGGCGAGGAGACTGGTCAGTCTGCAAAATATCAACATGCAGATACAATTAGGCCATTGAAGTCAGAGGAGGTGCAGCACAAACCTGATTTCAATGGAGTTTATTGAGGATTAAGCCACTTAAATTAAATCCCTAAAAAAGAATGCAGAGAAATTACCTGTACAGTTAGACGGCCCCGAACCATATCCATGGGATAAGTGGCTGACATGGCAATAATTCCAGCACAGGCACCAGCTCCAAGACGTAGAATTGGAGTGAGCTGAGCATCCTCTAAAGAAGGAATAACAATTACCGACCATTTCATCAAAATCCAAGATTACTGAAAGAAAGAACATGAAATGTACATGCTTGATGGCATGCATAAATGGATCGTCCCCAATAAGATAATCACTGCATTCTTTTTCTTTGACACAACAAAAGCAACAAAAAAAATGAAAAGAGAAAGGAAAGAAAAAAGTGATAAGTTCATACGATTTCCAGTTTGCTGCCGGTAAAGCCACAAAATGCCCCTGTTTTCAGAGATTAGTGAATCAAGCTTTATGGTATAAAGCCCATAAAACCCTTTCTATTTTTTTTCCTCAACATGGAATCTAAATCCTAAAATTATACACTGGTAAAGTTTGGGAGACCAGCAATACTTACTTAGATGCTTCCTCGTAACTAAAAAACTTCACTGCTGAGTTTGGGATGATGCGAGCACAGTTAGTACCATTGCCTTTAAACAATCCTCTGAACCCCTCAGTTCTCCAAATATATTTCAAACCCTGGATCGTTCCGTTGTATCTTATACTATGAGGATTCTGAACCTGCAGATCCCAAAAGCTAAAACCATAATTCTGCACTCTAGATAAAGAAGAAACTAGTATTCTAATACTCTAGGAAACATACACAGACAATTAGATAAGAAGTTAAATCCTATCAGAAGAAACAATGGGGATAATTCAGTGGAACAGCACTAGCTCATGACCTAATGATATAGAGATAAAATGGAGATGAATTTAATAACCAAATAAAAAATTTCAAAATAAACACCTGGAGCAAAATTTTTAATCTCTCCAAGGGAGCAACAGCAGTGCGTGAGCTGAAAAGGATAGCAAATAGCATAATTTCAGTACAGGCAAACTGATAATTGAGGGATCACTGAAGCATCATTGATTCTAGTTCCCAAACCAAGTATTTCAAACAAACGTGGCAATCAGGTTAAAATGTGAAAATCATGATCACTCTCCTTATGGAAAATTTTTCAGGCTACAAAAGTTGCCAGAAAATTTCAATAGCTCCAAATGACTACAGCTCCACTTCATGCTTTTTCTTGGAAACATAAGTATTTTGCAAATAAACAAAGGGAGATTTACTACTTGTGCATTCAATTCAAACATCTAAGCTTAAGTTCCTAAGACCTCCAAACTAAAATCCAAAAAAGCTTTTCCTTGAGAATCAAGTGCATCAAACTCTTATAACAACTAACAAGAACCCACAACAGTACTCTTTTTGAAATCATCTCTGCTTAATTAGAGACTAAGACCAATAACCAGCCACGGGATTATAAAGAGCTATGAGTACATCCTCGAACATGGTAGAAGAATTTTTACCTCACACGCAACTAAACACATGCCAATAAAGCATCAATTGAGGGGAAGTTTTTTGGTATTTTACAAGTTGAAGGATACATTCAACAATCAACTAACAGGTTCCAAGAGCTAAGTACAAAAATGAAAATTTATAAAGTCAAAGAAAAATCCCTCAGATTCGGTAGAAACTATTCATAACACCAATATTAACATAATAACAAGTTCCAGCTAAATTACACT